ATGCCAATAACTCATTGAATTGGGTTGCTATCAACAATGAATGAATGAATGAATGAATGAATACAGAGAGCTCAAAACAGAGCCTGGCCCACAGTGGGTATAAATTAGTCAGAATTTTATTGTTATTAGGTTTGGGCTGTAGGAATCAATAAGTAATAAACATAAGGCACTAAGCACTGTTGTCTAGTAGTACATTAAGAGTTCCGAATCGATTTGACTAATAAGTCTTACTCCCTTTCACTTTTTCTATTAAATTTAGAAGAGAATCCAGTAAATGTACAGAAACTAAATTAACATACATTATAAATACACATAATATATATTAACACATCTAACTATGCATCAATTAAAAATATTAACAAAATTAACAGATAAACATAAAAGAGAGCCAACCTTTCAAAATGGCATGACTTACCAGACATTAAGAAAATCCACTCTAAAACCACCTTTAACTAGAGCTTAGATTAAAAATATAAAATAAATGAAATATTTATAACTGGGGAAACTGCTTTCAAAAGATTTGTAAGTAGGTCCAAGGTTAATATTTAATATTATTCAAAGAGCTGCTATGCACAATACTGTTCTTTCAACCAGACAGTTCCACAGAACAGCCATAAATTTAATCTCAAAAGGTGCACTGATTCTAATCTCAATTTAAAAGACATTTTCAGCTAATAGGTATCAATACTTAGATTATAATCTCACGTAAATTGAGAGACTTTACATCATTTCTTACCACTAGCCTTTCAGCGGGAGAAAGATGAAGCTTTCTACTACCCTAAAGAGCTAGTCTCAGAAATCCACAGGGGCAGCTCTATCCTATCTGACCTATAAAGTAGCTGTGAGTCAGTATTGACTCAATGAGTTTTTTAGTTGGTTTAAGTACTCATTTTACACAAAGGAAAACCTCAGAAGTGAAAAGAAATGGCCTTACACAGGACCACCATTTAAGGTTGTGCAGTTTGTTGGGGCACATCTAAGGAGGCACACTCACACTGTAAACGTCATAATTTGTATGTTTATTATGATGCTTTCTGCACAAGGGGGGTTTATGGATTACTGATGGCCTTGGCTCCATGGATCACAGAGTAAAAACAAACAAACAAAAATTTTAATTTGTGGGTAACACAAATAAGCATCTCTTGTTCTCCAGAGATTTGGCTGCCTTTTTTTTTTTTTGCCATAATAACCCAGAATACTACCCAGGAAAACCCATAGTATACCAGGTGAAAAAAATACTTAGGACATTTTTCCAATGTGAAAGACAAGTCTTCACAAGACAGTTGGCTTAAAGGCAAAAGCTTCTCTTTAATAATAATCTTAAAACAGGCTTATCTTCCTTTACAAACGTGGTGATTTCCTGCTTTTGTTTTAATTTGTGTGAAGATTATACTTTGAATGTAAAATGCAAGATTCCCACTTTTTAACAGTAATGTGTTATGTCCTTAAAAAAAAGAAAGAAAACCTAACATTCTCCCGTTTCTTGTTTGTTGGAGTAAGAGAAGTGAGGTAGTTCAGTAGAAATACACGAAGAGCCAAAATACACGAATGGCTGGCTGAGCCACGTCTGGCAAAGCTTTTTGAAGACCCTCAGCACTCCTATCTTCCTTAGTTACTATGATTTACTCATGGGAATCTGGGCTAGCAATGAGACTGATGGGACACACATACAAAGAAATCATTCATCTTTATATCATTAGTAGTAGTATCTAGTACAGTGCAAAGTACATAGTAATTATTGGTTGGCAGAAGGAAACCAAAAGCAAATGATATGTCAATTTTAAGGACAAAAATAATAAAATTCAACCAGATTGTAATCAATTATAAATTTCAAGTGTTTTTTTTTTTTGGGGGGGGGGGGAGTCTATGTATAATTTAGACCGTACAGTATATGTCATTCTCCTTATTCTTGCAATATCTCTGCAATCACTCAGATGCCATGATGCACAAACGACCTCAGATCCAAAACTTTCCAAAATAGACTGTGGTTTAAACTTGAGAGCAAAGCTACTGAAAGTGTGGCCCATGGACTTGTGCCAACATTGCCTTTAATGGTCAGCTATGAGTTAATAAGGAAATTCAAAGTAAGTATTTTAGAATGTAATTGATAATGTAATTTATGTCTACTATATCTAATAAGAAAAAGGTAAGCTTTATATCTTTTTGTAGATTTCATTTTTCTAGTGATTCATTTTTATTCTCTTTTACAAAAGTACCAGTAAGTACCAGTGTGCAAAAGACTGCAGATTAAAAAATATGAGCTTCATCATACACAGCTGGGGTCCACTCAATTGCTGAAGAAACCCAATTCTCATTGAGACCTTTTCAAACTTTCACTACTTTCAGTTACTGTGCTCATAAATGTGGTGGTGATGATCAAAACGTTAAGAAAACACGAGCACTACAACTTAAAGTTTTTCACTTTGTCTTCACAAGTTTTGGCGAATCAATATCCTATTTTGAGAAATATTACTAAGACACATTTAAGGCTCTAACCCCTGTTGATTCTCAATAAATTCAAGTTGTGTAAGACACCACTATATACTATTTATCCAAAAACAGTGGACCCTTAATGAAATGAGCTGTGGAGGGCCAAAATTTCCAGTGTACAACTCGCAACTCTTGATTCTCAATATCAGTGTGCCCCATAAAAAGCAAGAGACATAACTCATTCAGAACTATGCGTATTCACAGAAAGCAGCAAAGATATAAAAACTTAGAACTCCCCATTATCCATGTATCTAAACTCTACTTTATCAAACTCGAAATAAGGAAATCATTAGAAAAAAAGAAAGAGGGGGGGAAAAAAACCCAAATCCTAAGTTATTGTACTCTACAGTAACTAGCAATAACGTGACTTCACCTTTAACTTCCTTTTCATAGACCTGCCTCAGAATGATTACCTTTGCTTTGAGAAGGCAAACAAGGTGACAAGTTAGCAAGTGAAAAGTCCTGAAGCAAAATGCAGCTCTTAATCCTCAAAAACCCAAACTTCAACATATGAAGATCATACCACCTTAAAAATACATTATTTTACTTGGATATAGCCTACATTTCTAAATAACCAGTGCTGACACAAAGTGTAAACAATGTCCTACCTAACAAGATTTTGCAACCTAATTTTCCTAAATTCATCTGTAAAAAACCTTTAACACCTGTAACATACGCAGCTTAAGCATCATTTCCTTACAACTGATGTAATGCAAAACAAAAACTCATCAAAATAATTAGGCAACATGAGGTTAATATTATAAATACAATATACTCCCCAAACTGGGGAGAATTCTAAGGCAAATGTGGGCCTTTATCTACTCAACAATAGCAATGGTACATTCTAAAACAAGCCCAAAGTTATATTTTAAAGATTAAACCAGATCAATACGTGATACTGAAAAGCACATCATCCTCAAGTATACAAAGAAAACGCTTTTACCCTAACTTTGACTTATACATTACACTTAATTTAGCTATTCCAAAGTTGAACTATTTAGCATACTGATGGCTACAGCTGCACTTTTATTCCATCATGTCAATCAGAAATCTAAATATATCCTAAGTTTAGAATAAACTCTCCCCTAGAAGACATATTGTAATGTGTTATTCGATTTTTGGAATGATTCTCATTTGTGTGGTATAAACAAATGTAAGGCAGATCCTGCTGAAATCTTTCCCAATTTTCATCAGAAAGGAAATGTTGATAAAAGGTCTTTTTCCCCCCTATGAGTTGTGAAAGGAAATTATAGCTATCTGTGTAGGATTCTCCTGTGAAAGGCTCTATGAAAGCATTCACACATACAATGTAAAAATAAAGAGAGCAACTGGGCTTTCATTTTAGTGGCACTCAAAAAATTAAAGGAGAGAAAAAAAATACTAGAATCCTTCTATCCTGAAATGGCAGTGTTTGTTTAAATCTACCTTTAGGAGTAATTTAATTGTGTCAATATTGACAGTAAAATATTGGCTATAGTGAACATGAGATGTGTTCTCCTCTTCAGTAGAATGGGAACCTTTTGATCCTTTCAAATTTTAAAAGGTTACATTATAAATCAAATGACAAGACAACCACTTGCCTACTAAAATGACACTTCTCCACCTCCCCTGACTTCAAAAGTCATCAAGAGCTTGTAAGAATTTTAAGGCAAGTTACCACCTCAAATTGAGTGCAACTTTTTGCCCAAGAGCACATGAGAAAATCAATGTATTTCCCAAAACATTACTAGTTGGTAAATACGGCTCACCCCTGAAACCATCAGAAAGCGGTCCCCCAAATCCTTATTACTGGGCTAGCAAATCCTCTCCGACATAAGCGTGGGGAAAAGCTATGAAAAGGTTCACGGAGTGCACTAGGGGAAAAAAAGAATCCCCTTCCACCTTTCTAGTCGCACTCAAATTTCTCCCTGTAGTGCAATGCAAGTCCGGCCTCACTTTTCTAAAACCAGAGAAATGAGGTGCTTCCGGAAACTTAATGGAAGGCTGACCATCAAGCTCTCGCAAGGCCAAAATAAAGGGGGAGAGGCTCCCTTTCATTAGTCATCATTCATAAACGTTAACAAGCTGTTAGATACTAAAAAAACCTCATTCCTGGGATCAGAAGAGTCATCTCTTCCTCTCTGAAGAGGTGGGGTGGGGGAAAGGGTGCTCCGTCTCCAATCCGGATCGAAGGTCCGGTGTCTGAATTTTCACTTTCCAGGGGAGAACGTCGGCGTCGCTTTCTCAGGGTCATTCATTTGCAAGGCTCCACTTCGGGCCGCCGATTCTGGCCGTACCTCGAGACGGTTACTAGGATTTCCGCTCGGGGGCTGTGCACTAACCCAAGCGCTCCACTGCCCGCCCGCCCGCCGGGCGGGGGCAGATCCAGGCGCGCACGCCGGACTCCCCGGCGCGCACGCCGTCCCGGTCCCCGCGACGGGCTCGGTCAGCGAGGGCAGGGTGAAGCGGTTCGCACGCACCGCTGCGCGACTGTCCCGGGCCCTCTTTTAAACCCCCCCACATCGCCTTACCTTGGATGACATGCTCGGGTGAGATGGTCTTCTTTTCCGATTTGTTGCAGATCTCATTGGCTTCGGACGATATTAGGTGAATGAATTCGGTGCAGCAGTTCACCACCAGCTCCCGGGCATCGTTGGCCACCCGGACGTTGGGCAGAGTCTCTTTGATCATCTTATTGATAGCAGCTCTGGGGATGGTGAGATCGTCGTCGTTGCCAGACGAGGAAGCCATCGTACATTCCACGCGCGCGCCCGCCCGCCCGCCCGACTTTTAAAAACTCCCCGGTCGGGGTCCACTGCTCCACGGAGACGTCTCAAAAGGCCGCCCTCGGCGAGGGACCCAGCGGGGCGCTCGGAGGAGGGTGCAGAAGAACACGGGGAAGAGGGGCTGGCGCGGACCCCACCGGGCGGGGAACACCGCGTGTCTGAGCTTTCGGGCGAGGAGGGGAGGGAAGTTGGAGAGCTGAGGATTTTAGGGGCAGCCCTGCCTGGGTCGAGACGGGAAAAGGTTGGCGTGGTCCGGAAATTTGAGCGGCGGAGGAACCACCTTCGTGTCTCCTTAGAGGGGCGGGAGCTGTCGCCTAACCGGTCCCCAAAGGGGCCCGAGCAGAGTTAGACGCAGGGCACTGGCGTCGCCGCGGTACCACACCGACTCCCAGCGGGCTCGGCTCTACAGAGCCAGCGCTCGAGCCGCCGCCGCCGCCCCCGCCAGCAGCCGTTGCCGCCGCCTCGGCCAAACCATCCTTCAGATGCCCGCGCTGCCGCCTCACAACATGTCGGCCGCTGTAGGAACTGTGGGGGCCGCCTGGGAACGAATACGGACTGAGTCGGGCACTGAGGGAGCCGCAGTGGCAGCCGCCGTGGCAGTTTATCCCGAACGCAGGTCGGAGAAGCCGGAGCGGCGGCAACGGCGGCCCCTCCAGAGGCCAAAGAAGAAGGTTTGCTGGGAGCGACTCCCGACAGCCCTTGCGCCGCCGGAAGTCTCGGCTCTCACTCGTTCCCCCGCCCCCACTGGACCGACTTCCGGGTGTGGCTGCCACCCTTCCCCCACTCGCGCCAGCGGGAATCACGCGTCCTGGAGGAGCTTCCGCCCTTCCTGGGAGCGCGCGGCCTGGGATCCCGCACCTTTCACGTGGCCGAAGCCGTGGCGCTTGATTCCTCCAGGATCAGGGCTGACTGGAGTTCGGTGCATGGGTTAGCAAATCCCACACAGCGCTGGGAAGCCTCCCTTAACCGTTTTGTGACAAAGGAGTGCTAGATTTCTTTTTAAAAACTCTGCTTTTCCTTAAGTAAATCGGATTGGTCACGGAAGGGGAGATGAACCGGGCTTGGGCTCCGGACTGAGGATGTGGACAAGGCAGAACTCCATATGCCTGCGTCTGCATCAATTCTTCCAGTAGATGTTATCGATTTCGTTATGTGGGAAGGGACGTAACTTGCCCATTCACTACCATAGACTAAGAGGGGGAGACAGAAGTCTGATCCATTGTTGTGAAAACTCCCACAGTACAACCTGACTATTTTCATTTGCTTGTTAAAAAAAAAAGGTTGAACCATTGTAAGCAACTCTGATTTTTGCCTCTGTCTAAGGTGACATGTAATAAAAACGGATGTCAAATTCTTCACAAAAGTGCATTATTTATAAAACTAAGTATCATACTGTCGTTTGGAAGAGGCTTCATTATAAATCATTGGATGTGGAAATTTCTTTAAAAAGATACCATTTAAATTCGTTTTGGAGCCTTAGTTCATCATCATCAGATACCATATGTTGTTCTTGCAACGTTGGAAAGCAATTGGCTTGCTAGAAATACTTTTTTAAACAAACTATTTCTGTCTAAAAATGCATCCTACATGTCTGGCAACTTGAGGTGTTTTTCAGTTTATTACACTTTTTCTTATTTAGCTTTTTCTCCAGGACATGCATCAGATTCTTTCGTTTCAAAAGTATGAACACTTTTTTTCAGTGCCAGTAAGTTAAGATTATTTGATATAACAATATTTCTAAATTGCCTTATATAGGATGTGAAACTATTGACTCAGGTGTACCAGCTGCAAAACGTGGAAGGTTTACTGTTAATTTAAAGAGTTACCTATCTTCTACATTTATCTTGGCCCTGTTAATTTTATCCATCTGAAAAAGCTAGCTAGCCAAAGAATGTTCTCATTGTCACTTGTGCAAAATTTGTACCTCCTGAAAAAGTAATAATGCTTTATCTTTTCGTGTAAAGTTTATGCTATATAGATGAGTAGAGTATACATTGTAATTTTTTATTCTAGTAATAATTTGTTATAATGGTCTGTGTATGGTAGCATAAAACAGATAGGCCAAGAGACCAAGGTTCCAGTCTAAGCTTTTTGTTATTTCGTCTAGAGATGGGATTCAAGGCCAGTGATACGTTGCAGAGCACGTGCTACATTATGTAGTATATATTGTTTTTGTCAGGTGCCGCGGAGTTGGTTCTGACTCAGCAACCCTGTGTAACAAAGAATGAAACTCTGCTTGGCCATTCCCACCCCCACGGTGGTTATGTTAAAGCCTATTGTTGTAGCTACTTTGTCAATCCATCTCATTGAGGAGCTTCCTCTTTTTCGCTGTCCTTATACTACAGTAGTCAAGCACAATGACCTTTTCCAGAAATTGGTCTCTTGACAAATGTCCAAAGTATACAAGATAAAGTCTCACCATCCTAACTTCTAAGTACATTGTGCCCATACCTCTTCCAAGACAGATTGTTCTTTTGGCAGTCCATGTTATTTTCAATATTCTTCACCAACACCATAATTCAGATGCATCCATTTTTTTTTGGTCTTCCTTATTCAATGTCCAACTTTCACATGCCTAGGAGGTGATTGAAAATACCATGGCTTGGCTCGGGTGCACCTTAGTCCTCAGAATGACATCTTTGCGCTTTGACACTAAAGAAGTCTTGTGTAGCAGCCCAATGCGATATGTCATTTGACTTGTTAACTGTGGCTGCCATGAGCGTAGACTGTGGATCCAAGCAAGGTGAAATGCTTTGCGACTTCACTCTTTTCTCCATTTATCATGATGTCGTCTATTGATCCAGTTGTGAAGACTTTGTTTTCTTTACATTGAGGCGTCATCCATACTGAAGGCTGCAGTCTGAATTTCATTAGCAAATGCTTCAAATCCTCCTCACTTTCTTTTTTTTCTTCCTCGCTTTCAACAAACAAGGTTTTGTCATCTGCATATTGTATGTCGTTAATAAAGTTTCCTCCAGTCCTGGTACCATTCTTCTTCAGAGAGTCCTACTTTTGGATTATTTGCTCAGCATACATTTTGACTAAGTGTAGTGAAAGAATACAGCCTTGACCTTTTAAGAATCTTTCCTGATTTTAAACAATTCAGTATCCCCTGGTTATGTTTAAACGACAGCCTCTTGGCGTGTGTACAGGTTCCTCATGAGCATAATAAAGTGTCTGGCAGTCTCACTCTTCTCCATATTGTCCACAGTTTGTTATGGCCCACACAGTCAAATGACTTTGCATACTCAATGAAACACAAGTAAGCATTTTTCTGGTATTCTCTGTTTTTAGCCAAGATGGATCTGATGTCAGAAATGGTATCCCTTGTGCCATATCCTGAATCTAGCTTGAATTTCTGGCAGCTCCCTGTCAATATACTACTGCAATTGTTGAAAGATCTTCAGCAAAATTTTACTTGCCTGTGAGATTAATGATAATAATTTTCACATTCTGTTGGGTCACATTTCTGTCAGTTTGTCATACAGTGGTATCTTGCATGTTTGTGTGATGCTGGAAGCTATGCCATTGTTATTTCAAATGCTAGCCCATAGTGAATAGTTTTTATAGTTAAGATCTTCTGTCAGTTTTTCTGAGTCAGAATTTGCAGTGGTTTGGCAGCAAGACCTAGTAATCCCCCATGATGTGACCTCATCATTTACATAATAGAATTTGTTGTGAGAAGCTAGTAAGTTGTAAGAAGATTAGGTTGGAATATATAATACCATTACTGAAGCTACAGCTCTGATCCAATCAATTGAAAGGAAGTTTCCTTAGGAACATGGCCTGCTTCCAATGTGAATGCTAGGTGTGGAAAAGCTTGCTTGTATTTTTCTGAATCTGGAGTCTACATCTGGCTCATTGTCCTCTGAATTTGAGCCAACAGTCTGCCATATTGCCTGCCAATTTCAAGAGTCATCAGTGGCCTGCCAATGACCTGCTGAACTTAAATTCATTTGCCTCTGCAGCCACCTCTGGCCTGCTAACCTTAGATTCATTCACCTTTTTAGCCATCAGCTTGTCATCTTCTTGCCTATCATGGATTCATCAGACCTCACAACTACATGAGTCAGGAGAAGCCTCCAGCCAAACATCTAGCCCATGGACTTGGAATCAGCCCAGACTTGGAATTGCCTGCTTCTACAACTGTATGGTCCATTTCCTTGATATAAAAGTCTTTCTATATATGCATATATAAACTTCACTAATTTTGCTTCTCAGGAGAACCCTAGGACAATACATTTTAGTGGAGCTCCAAAATACAAAGAACAGGCTAGGAAAAAAGAAGAGGTTTCTACTTCTGCGAGATTAGCCTTTGAAAGTTCAGGAATAGCAGCGGAACATTTTCCGAGAAGGTACAGGAAGATTATCCCCTCCCATTACTATGACTTAGGAAGAATGGCCTTCTCAAACTGGAGTCAACCTTGATGAAATAGATGCAGGAAAGCTTTTGGGTTCTTCATTTATTGGTGGGACAGAATTCAAAATGAGAAGAAAAGCTGTAAACATCTATTAATCATTGGAATATGGAACGTACAAAGGATAGATCTAGAAAAATTGAAAGTCACCAAAAATACACATAAAAATCAATATCCTAGGTGTTAAACTCAACCACTGCCATCAAGTAGATTCTGACTTATAGCAACCCTAAGTATACCTGCCCCTGTGTGTTTTTGAGGTTGTAAATCTTTATGGGAGCAGGAAACCTTGCCTTTTTCCCATAGAGTGGCTAGTGGTTTTGAACGGTGGACCTTGTGGTTAGCAACCCCACACTTAACCCACTATGCCACCAGGTTTCCTTATCCTAGGTATTAGTGAGCTAAAGTGTACTAATATTGGCCATTGTGGGTTGAACAATTATATAGTTAACTGTGACAGGAATGAAATAGTATGTAGAGAGTAGTCTTTATTAATGTCATTAAAAATATTTATTTGACTATACATAGTCAACCATACTTCCATTGACAATTTCTAGCCAAACAGTTCAATGAAATCAAATCATGATCATCTTTATCAGGTCAGAAGCATCATGGATTAAGTAGTCATCTACAAGGCTTAAATCATACATAATGCACCTGGGAGAAAATTTAATTGAAAATCAATAGCAGTGTGATGTGTTCTGAAATACATTAATCTGGATTCCATATTTAAATATAGTATAATATATACTTAAGAATAGAAGGAAGCCCTGGCAGTGCAGTGGGTTAAGTATTAGACATCTAGCCAAAAGGTCCACAGTTCAAACCCTCCAACCAGCTGCTCTCTAGGAGAAAGATGAGGTAAGCCTACTTCCATCAAGATTTACAGCTGCAGAAACCCTATGAAGTAGTCCTGCTCTGTCCAAAGGGCTGCTGTGAGTCAGAGTATGACTCGACAGCAGCAGGTTATTTTTGTTTTGTTTTTTAAAATTATATGTAGGCTTTTGAGAACAAGGATAGAATCTCAACATGCTTTTTGAATTTTAGAGAGAGTACATATATATCAGACATTTTTTCCATGGCATCCAAAAATTCATGTTGTGACAGAAAACATAGTAGCAATCTGAGTGATATGTGATTGGCTAGGCTGATATATTAGTTATTTAAAATGTGCCAATTCATAGATGCCCAAACTTTGGTTAAAATTACTGAGTATACAAGGGATACCCCCACAACCATT